GTTACTCTGGAGGCTGGGGCAGGAGAATCACTTGAACCAGGGAGGTGGAGGTTGCAGTGAGGTGAGATCATGCCACTGCACTCCTGCCTGGGCAATGAGAACAAAACTCTGTCATAAATAAATAAATAAAATTTTAAAAAGAAAACCTGTAAAACTAAAGCTAAAAAGCCAAACCTTTGTTATATAATTGTACATAGATGTACTTGATAGCAATAACTCAAACATACCCTGAGAAGGCTATGGTGCAAGAAGAATGTTTGTATGGAATTCTGACCTAAGAAAATCAGGAGTAGCTAACCTGGAGATTCACTCCTTAACTCTGAAGGACATCTGAACCCCTAGCCCTTCCCTTGGAACACAGGCCATAAAGATGACTGAAGAGGCTGGGCACAGTGGTTGACACCTGTAATCCCAGCACTTTGGGAGGCTGATGAGGGTGGATCATGAGGTTAGGAGTTCCAGACCAGCCTGGCTGACATGGTGAAACCCCACCTTGAGTACAAATACAAAAATTAGATGGGCATGGTGGCGGGCACCTATAATCCCAGCCGCTCCACAGGCTGAGGCAGAAGAATCACTTGACCCCGGGAAGCAGAGGTTGCAGTGAGCTGAGATCATGCCACTGCATTCCATTCTGGGCAACAGAGCAAGACTCCATCTCAGAAAACAACAAAAAAATGGGGACTGAGGACCTTTGTTTTGGGTAAAATGGAGATTGCTAGCTAGAGATGGTCCTAAGTGAAAATGCTATATATGTTGTATGCTTTTTATAAACAGTAGCAGTTTTCCTGTCCAGCCCACCTCTCCCGGACCAAATTGTATGTAACTCCTCAGTAAATGCTGTGTCTGATTCACTGGCTCTGGGACTCTCCTTCCACCTCTCAGACAGAGTGTCATCCCTATTGAAGTCAATAGGGGTCCTGCACAACAATAGTTTTTTGTTGTTGTTGTTGTTGTTGTTGTTGTTGTTGTTGTTTTTCACCGCAACCTCCGCCTCCTGGGTTCAGGCAATTCTCCTGCCTCAGCTTCCTGAGTAGCTGGTATTGCAGGCACACGCCACCATGCCCAGCTAATTTTTTTGTATTTTTAGTAGAGACGGGGTTTCACCATGTTGATCAGGATGGTCTTGATCTCTTAACCTCGTGATCCACCCACCGCGGCCTCCCAAAGTGCTGGGATTACAGATGTGAGCCACCACGCCCGGCACAACCACAGTTCTTAATCAGACTTTTAACATAAGTGTATTGAAAAACTGAATTCCACAGACATTCAAACAACTTATTACTTCTACCTAATATGATTTGGTGTGCATACCTGTACTCCTAAATCAAGTCATAACAACAATTATTCTGATGTTTTATTTTTAAGATAATTGCTTTACAACTAGATTCATTTTAGAAAACAGTTTTCAATATCTAGTGGACAACTTTCTGAAATGCTATCTATATATACATACATATAAATTTTTAAAATGTTTCTTTCAAAGGTTAAAGCTAGGTGTAAATAATTTTCAATCGCATTATCAAAAATACAAAAAAAGGAAAATATAAGATATAATACCATCCTTATTATTCAATTTGGCATATAAGGCTAAGAATGGCTGAGATACCAGTGCTTCCCATATGTATTAATGCACTTTTCTAGAAAGTCTACTTTTTAGAAGTTAAGTTGTCTTCATATTCCTGGTGTAGGTGGCTTAGTCATTCACACTTTAGCTTAAATTAGTCTGATACAATTTATTTTTTCCTAGAAGCTCAATTAGATTTATCTACTGTGACTTAATGGGAGTTTTGACAAGAAGTACAAATTGTAATAGCATAGAATTCTTCTTTGGGTTAGTCTTTCACAGCATGATGCATTTTGGAGCTCTTGGGTAACTAAATAGGAGCATCAGACAAATATGAGCTGACATCAACATATAAGCAAAGTAGCAAGAAAAATATGAATGGAGATGAAAGATAAAATTTACTTCTAACATTCAGTATGGTTTAAGAATTGTCCTTCCTCTATAGTAACGCTTATCTCTGAAATCATTCCTTTCCTTCAAGCTCTCTCAAAAACTCTCTGCTAAGGATATAATCTTTAAAACACATTGCATTTGTGTTTTAAAACATTAGGTACAAAAATCACTTTTCTTAGTTAAATAAATGTCCACTTTCATCCAATAATTTATTGGGTTCCTAGTGTTAGTTCCAGTTTTCATCAAGTAGACCTTCATAGTTGACTATTATCATGATCTATAAAGGTTAAAATGTACAACAGAGATTCAGAAAGAAAGGAGAGAAAATGTGTTTTATATAAATCACGTTTAAAACATCAAGATACAATAAAATAAGGAAAAAATTTCTGTAACTCAAAAGAAAATTAAATACAAAATATATATTTGATTTTGCTCTTGTTGTTTCAGTGAGAAATCTGTTTGTTTATGTATCCCAGAAACACGTTAGGTCTTCAACTTTGTTTTGAAATCAGTTGAAATGTATTTTTGGTGAGATCTGTTACCAAAATACACTGTATTCTAGTACTTTAAGGTCAGTTAAAACATTTGAAACATGCTCCTAAAATAAGCACACTTCTTTTACATTTTAAAACTACATAGATTAAAAAAAAAAAAAAAAAAAAAAACTTCGATGTTTGGATTTCATTTATTCTGTTTAACTCATTTTTTGTAAATGATAGCCCTTCATTTCAAAAACTTGTATATTTCCTTGTTGTTTCTTCATAGCAACTCCCAGTTTTGAACTGTCAGAGAACTTAATATATTATATTACATTATATTAGTAAAAATAATCAAAGGCTTGTAACTCAGTAGCAATTTTTCACCTAGGGAATTTGAAGTTAAGGTATTTCTAATTTATAATAAGCCTCTTCAATTCTACATAAAACAAATTAATGAATTAAATGATAACTTACCACATGGTTTAATCTACATAAATAATAAAATTCATGAGATATGCAAATTAATTGTTAATACCATTTATAAAAAAATAGATCAAAACTTTTTTCGATCTTAAAAAGAAACTCACATATTAAATAATTATATAAACAGAATCTCGGGTTATCTTTTGATATTCATCACTTTAACTAGAAAACATTCACATTTTCATTAATTACCTGAAATCTTGGATATTCTGGGAAAATAAGGAGACCAACACTTACTGCCATTGGTCCTTAGAAAAATGAGCTGGGAGAACAAGAAAGCTGACATTATTTTAAAAGTGATTTGGCATATACAGTAAATCAGGGAACATATTAACAAAGTAAGGCAGATATTCTATAGAGGTAAAGAGTTAAATCTAAATTATTTATGAAAAAAATTTCTCTTTAAATGTTAATGTTTAAAGGAACCCTATTCTACAAGGAACTTGTTTGAACTCTTAAAAGTATGTCAACCTCAGAGTGGCTAATAACGATAGTTTTATGAAAAACTAGAACTTGTTCTTGCAAACATCCTGGTTTTTGACCTGCTGGGGAATAAAATGTAAAGCAACAACAACAACAACAACAAAACTTTGCTAGCTCTGACATCACTGGAAAAAAAAAAAAAAAAAAAAAAAAACATTCCGGTCCCTCTTAAGGTCTTGCCATTTTCTAGCAACAATCACCAAACAAAATAGAAGCTTTCTCCGTCATCTCTCTTTGAAAATTCTAATCAGCTTGTGTAGAAGGGAAAAGAGCAAATGCTGAATCTGGAGAGTGAAAGTTATCTGGCTTTAGCAGAGATTATTGAGATGAAACGGGGAAAGTAGAGGAAAGCACTTTCAAATAAAATGCATGGTATTCAGAAAGGCTACAAGAAACGGAAAGAAGGTGTTTTCCTGGGCCTGCCAGGACTTGCAACATGAAAGAGCAATGAAAAGGTAAGCATAATTACTCCCAGCAGTAAGGAAACGTTGATTTCATCTTTCTCAAGCTCTCTTTCTCTTTCTCTCTCGGTCTCTCTCTCTCTCTCTCTCTCTCTGTCTCTGTCTCTCGGTCTCTCTCTCTCTCTCTCTCTCTCTCTCTCTCTCTCTCTCTCTCTCACACACACACACACACACACACACACACACACACACACTTCCAGTATATTTGAACTTTGTCTTGTCCCAACTCCTGACTTCTTACAGCTGGCTCAGTATATTCCTTCCCTACCTCAGTCTGGACACCACAAAAGAGAAAAACATAAAGTTATTCAGCCCAGTGATGCAAGGTCTTTGGATTTCTCATTCAACATTTTATACTTTGATCCCCTGAGGAAACAGAAAATCCTAATGCCTAGACTTTCATTGGTTCCTATCAGCTCAGATGGAAAGCTTGGCAAGTGGGACAATCCTGAAGAAAAAGGAGTCACCCCCACGTCCTAAAGTACTTGGAAGTGCTCGCTGGGATCCGCTTGTACTCCAGGCTGGTGCAACTCCATCGCCCTCCAGTGAAGTCCCAGAAGCTATCAAGTTTAAAGTGAAAGGAGGATGGAAGCATTTTTTCTCCTTGTGCCTCCGGAGTCTGTGGCTTCAGTTTGCTGCAGATTCTCTCCGTGACTTCTCAGAAACCTTAATTTTCCACTTAGAGGGACAGAAAGCTACAAGGAAAACGCTGATGGCTTTAGCGGAGACCCTCCTGGAAGTCAGTGGTGTCCTTTGGTACATCTGTCCGTGGTGTCCCTTTGGTTTATTTCTTTGGTCTTGCTGCGCAGTCCCCAAGCTGCGCGGACTTTGGCTCTCCAGCTCGCCGACTTGGATCCTGAGCTTCCTAAGCTCCCGCGGAGACCCTGGAGCCCCGGATCTGGCGCCGCTCGGCGACCTGGAGGGGGTCTGTGAGGCTGGAAGTGCAGTCCCCGGAGCCGCGCTTCTCTGGAACAAAGCAGCCAGACGTGGCTTGACTGGATTCCTAAGCCCAGGATTGGACTGGGAGCATCAGGGGCAGAGACTGGGAGCAGAGGAAAGAAAGAAGTGATCAGCTGCCACCTAAAGCACTTTTCAGGTTCTTCCCGGAGATAGCTGTGTGGGTCTTCCTTACGCATGGGTGCACGTGTGCGCGCTTGGAATGAACCCATGCTTGTGCTCGAGTATACGCGCGCTTGTGCACCTGCAAGGCAATGGTAATGCCTGGCAGAGCTCTTTTTGGAATAAAATGAAAGAGCTCCCTATCCACCGAGGCCATCAGCGTGAGCCTTTGACAAGTAGGCCAGAAGTCCTTGTTAGCCAGCTTCCCTTTGCAACTTCCTACTCTTTCATAGCCTTTGGGTACAAACTGGTGTCTTGGCTGGTTAGGATCAGAGCTGAGAGTGAAGGTGCGTGCAGTGTCTGAAGACCACGTGCTGGTGAACCCACAACGAAAAACGGAAGGGTTTCAGGATTCTAGCAGAAAGGAACAGCAAGATTTCACTAAGGAGTTCTTAGAAGAAAGCATTAACTTTGCTTACTGGCTTTTCCAGGCTGGAGGAAGTGGGGCTAGGGTCGGGGAGAGAAGCACTGGGAGTCTTGTCGGAGTCTCAAGCAAAACCAGGCGAGGGCTCCGGGCAGATCCACTCCCACAGGGCCGTGTCTAACCTCCTTTCCAGTCGCACCTCTCTTCTGCTTTAGACCCTGCGTCTGTGCCGGTGACCTTAGAGACCAAGCCTGGCTTATGAGGACTGTTAGGCTCCCTTTCTGCCTTTGACTTACCAAAATGGGACCAACTGCAGTATTCGTAATGTCTGATGCTAAGCTGAGTTGATTCTCAAATGTAAATGTTCTTTTCAGAATCTGCTCCCATCTGATTAGTAAGCAAATCACCACCTACAACTAAGGGGACAGCGGAAGCTTGCATCAGATGACTGAAACCCCCAAGTCAGTAGCTTTCCTCAAAATTTCCGGCGTGTTATAGCTAATGACTTTTCCCACCGCCCTAAGCAGCGGAAGCTTGACTCAGTGACGATTTTCTATCCCGTAACCGCGAGGAAGTGGGCGACCAGCAAATTGCCCTTTTGCAGGAGGCTGGGGACGCCCCTGGAAGTTCGCCTTCGTCCTCCAGGTTTTCTGCCTTTTCCCTTCCCCCTTCCTGCAACGCCCCCGCGCCTGCTCAGCCTGGGGATTTCCCGACGCTTTGCCGGCCCTCTCCGAGTCCCGGGATAAATCGGTTTGGAACACATCTGGCTGGGAGGCGCTAGGGCTGAGAGCAGCTAAGCGGCCCGGGCCAGGGTCTTGCGGACTCTCTGGGTCTGGCCGACGCGGCCGCTCCCGTCACTGCGGCGCGGGCCGAGCTGACGGCCGCGCGCCCGCCGCCGCCGCCGCCGCCGCCGCCGCCTCCATGCTGCAGCGCGGGGCTCAGCTCCACTCGGCCAGGAGGCCGCGGTTGCCCGCACACGCCGCCTTGGGAAGCCCGGTTCCCCGGCCCGCCTGGGCAGCGGCCACCGCCCCAGACCTCAGCCGCTCGCCTAGCGCCTGAACTGCGGACTCGCCCCAGCGCGGTGGCCAGCGGGCGGGGCGCTGTGTGCAGCCGCGCGCAGGGAAGCGGTGAGCGTGTGCAGAGCTGCCCCAACCTAGGACTGTGTATGTGTGTGCGCGTGTGTGCTTGTGTTTGCGCGTGTTTTTCCTTCTTCCCTTGAGGGTGTGAATTGTTTCGCAGCTGGCTGCTCCCTTAGGATTCTTGACTTTGGGGAGCTCTGGGCTGTGAGCACAACCCACCCATATAATCCATTTTGCACGGTCGGTTATATCAGGGGAAAAAAAAAGCGCAACTGGACGGGGGTGGGGCAGACCGACGAAACCTTCTGGAAATACACAGACACACTCACAGGAGAGATGAAAAATTCAAAGACTTGAGAAGACTTTGATAACCTCCCTGCTGGCCCTTCTGTTTTCCGGAAAGATCTTGGATGTTGGCTACCTTTTCAAGTCATCTTGGCATGTCTCTAGTGTTTTGTAAGCCGCTTTCCAGCTAGCTGCGTGTGTGTGTGCGCGCGAGTGTGTACGCGCGCGCCTATCTCATGCATTTGACTGTCTTTTATCCAACTGCCCAGAATGTGTTAACTCGGCGATGCCCCTTCATGCCCAGGTTCTTGCAGAGCTCTGAGGACGCCCGGACCCATTTTCCTGGCTGGATTTAGAGCGGCTGCTGGGCTGTGGACCCAGGTGTGTGGATCACTTTACCCAGAAGCTTGGAAAGCGCCAGTATTAACCGGCTTCCAGGTACATCACAAGGTCAAGAGAGGGTCTTGCAGCCCTCTTGTTTCCGTGTATCTACACTTTCTCGTCTTGGCTACAAGGATATTTACGTTTTGTTCCACAGCATTTGAAGCCAAAAGTTCAGCCCTTCGAGCTGCTTTGCTATACAAAAAGAAAAAAACAGGTAATGAGGATTGCTTATCAAACTGCCTAACATAATCCTCACTCTTCCGCAGCCTTTTCCCGGCTTCCTCCTCCCCACCAAAATGTCACCAGCTCTTGAATTACGTGGATTCGGGTTGGAGGAGAACTTGAAGGAAACGTGATTAAACGGCTATGCGAGAACGCTCTCTTTGCTGCCCGCGGTCCGGTGGGCTTCGAAGCCACTCGTGAGAAGGACTGCTTCCCTCCGTGCTGCCTTCCTCCCGGTGCAGCGTTGGGTGTGAGTGTGCAAGTGTGAGTGCAAGTGCGCGCGCCTGGGTACGAGTGTGTGAGTGTGAGCGTGTCTTGTGTGTGCGTGCGCGGCCGCCCTGCCTCTGCCCGCTCCCCAGGCGCGGAGCCGCGGGTTTCATGGGGCGATTGCCGCGGATCCCCCACCCAGCGCGACCTGCGGGCAGCGGCGGCAGTGTCAGGAGCCGCCTTTCCGACTCCCTAGGATGCGGGTGCTGAGCTATGGCAAAGGGCAGCGAAGTGACGAGCTAGACCCGCGTACGACTGTGAAAGCCACCTGGAGCCACCTTGTCGGGATTGTACCTGCAGGCAGAAAGTCTTCCTACGACCGTCTTTTCCCCTAGAGGCACCAGGTAACAAGCCAACCACTACGCGCCTCACCCAATTTCCTTCTGATCTTGTTTCTAGTGTCTTATCTGCATTGCAGCCTACTTTACTTATTAATGTTTTGAAAATCATTGGGAAGGGTTGGATATCCAAGGGCGCCTGCTCTGTGATTTTGTAATACAATTTCTAGTAGGTGAAATATAAATCTATACCTGAGCACTTAATCTAGTAGTGGATGCTTTGGGAATATGGTTGTGCTCCACCCTGAGGATATTTTTTGAGAGTTAGGCGTGTGGAACCTGTCTGAAGATGCCAGAGATCAAAATTCTGTGTTTCCTTCAGGCTATGGTTGCCACGGACCATTTGGTACCCAACCCTCTCCAGATTGTGGAGTGTGAGTGGGTGTTTGGTTTTCACCCATCATTTAAGCCAAAGATGTTTTTTACACTTTTCTACCTCTGGTGCCAGGTTGTTTTCCTTTCCTTGTTGTGGAGGAGCTTGCCAGATCTTTTCAGTAGTTGTAAATTACGCATCTGGAGACTTTGACTGGAAATGGAGTTTTCTTGGAACTTGGTTTGCATGAAAGGGAATATTTTGCCACGGGTGTGTGTCTTGAGATATGGTGTTTAACTGCCAGGGCGTGCTTTTATGTAGCAGAATAAATCCTTGAAAGAAGTCATTTTTATATCTAGCAGAACCAGGCTAAAACGATAGCCACCACCCAGCATCCTCTCCAGCTGTATTGTCTCCGTCACAGAGAGGGGCTACTGTGCGCGTTTTTTTTGTTTGTGTGTGTTTTACTTTGTCTCTGTATAATAGGTATTTTGATTTTTTTTTTTTTTTTTTCCTGATGCCTTGATTTACAAGGAGCAGGTTGGATTTGCTACGGCCTAATTAACATATTGGGTCTGATATGTTAAAAGGAGATTCCCAGGACAGGCTGAAGCGCAACAAATTTAGTTAACTTACAAAGCCCCTTACCCTAGCACCTTTTTCCCCTGAATTCCCTTTCGTCTCATCTCAGCGCCCGCCGCCAAAGGAAAATTTCACTCCCTTCCTGAAAACATTAGAATTAACAAGATAAAGCACTTCCAAAGTAGTCTCATCAATGCTTTATTCCGTAATGAAGACGGTCTGAATAATTTAGCTAAGGAGTGTTCGTTTGTCTCCCGCCTTTGGGAGCTGGTTACTGGCTACATTCAGCGGAGGATTTTGCCCAGCCAAGCTCAGGGTGCCTCGCTCCGGGAGGCAGTGACGGGGGCTGCTGGGGCGCGGGGGCTCTCTTTGCTAAAGCCGCTTAGAAAGTGTACGGGCGCTGCCTGATTTTCCCCCACTCGCTGCGTTTCTATAGATATCCATATGATGGCATTTGCAGACTTCGAGCTGGCCCATAGCTGCTCTGCTTGTCCCTGCGCGCTGACGTCCCCAGCTCCTCCTCGAGTCTGGGCTCCGCTGCTGCTGCAGCCCTCGCAGGCTGGGGGTGCTGCAAGGCCGTGAATTCAGCGGGATTTGGGGGCTGGGCTCTGCCACTGCAGCTGGCAGGCTGGCTTTGACACTTTTTTGGGGCGGGGCGGAAGAGCTCAGAGGACCCCCTGGCAGACAGCAAGCGGATCGTGGCCGAGGTGGCCGCCTGGATGTGAGAGAAGGGAGATGCCCACAGCCACAGAAGAGCATTGAGGGCGGTGGTGACCTGCCTTTGCCTGCAAAATCCTCTCTCTCTTTCTCTCTCTCTCTCTCTCTCTCTCTCTCTCTCTCTCTCTTTCTCTGTCTCTCTTTCTCTCCCCAACCCCCATGAATATTCAAGAATATGGAAGGAAAGCTGGCTACAAAAATGTCCTAATATTCAAATGCTCCATGATTTATCAGGATTAAAATCCTGAAGCTAAGTGTGTGTTTCCTGGATTTTCATTTGCTCTTCTTTCTCCCCTTCCCTCTGGGTTTGATCAGGTCATTTATACCCGTTTTGTTTCCAGTCGAAACACCTCTGTAAAGTCAACTAACCTCCAACCCCCACCTGGTACCCAATAAACGTGAAAGAGGAGGACAGAAGGGACACTATTCAGATTTGCTTTGTGACTTCAAGCTCCAGGGAGAACCAAGGGATGATACAGAAGATATCTCAACTTTAACAGAACTTCATCCTGTGAGAACCAATGAAAAAAGAGAGAAATGGCCTAGATTAATGAAATAAATGAAAGATAACAGATAATTGGGAATAAATTTAAAAAGGATTTTTTCTTCATATCTTCTCTTTTTTAATTTTTTCTTTTTTAGTGAATTTACTTCTAATCCTCCTATTACTCAGATAATCTTAAACAAATCTGATTTGTTTATTCTAAACGTCTGACAGCGATACTTCTTTGTCTCCCTCCCCAAATTACCCCAGAATACTATTGCAACAGTATTGATATCATACTTACAATATTTGTTAGCAAATAAGTCATACCTATCTAGAGAGTGCCCAAGGAAAAAGAAATGCTGGTGAATATAGGTACTTGGAAAATAAGGTGTTTTCACCACCTCCCACCTCATTTCACTTTCTTCTGGCCTTTTCCCACTAAGGAAATCTTTTGCAGGTTAAGTTTTGTTCTTCCACCCTAAGCGTCAGGGAAGGTAAAGCAAATGCATTAAAATGGATGCTGAATGCTCAGAAACCTAAACATAGATGATGGTGTGATGCATGCTTGAAAATGTCACTCATCGGTGCAGATTAGAGTTATGTTAAAGATCATAACTAAATAGAGCTCCTAATACAAGGTTGCATGGACAGAAGTTCCTAAAGTGGGGGAAAAGATTTCTGCTGCCTTTTTCTTCTCCCTTTTCTGGAAAAATGGAAAGGGTACAAGTTACTTTGAAAATCTGAGTCCACTGTTCTTGTTAAGAATCATCTTTAGACAGAGCTAGCTTCACTCACTGGCCTGGCTCACTGATGAGTTAACACTGTCAGATATTGATAGGAAATTTCCAACAAAAAGCCTCCATCTTTGTAAGTCCTCTTTTAGTTATTAATAGGAACAGAACAATAGGGTATCTATAAGAACAGGCATAAGCAGATAGGTGGAAAGAAGTTGCCGCTTGATTCCTGTGCCCTGGATCATTTCTTTTAGTCATTTTATTCTCTTTCTCTTTTCAAGAGGAGAATGACCTTGAACACCAGCCTTCTGTTCTTTCACATATCTCTCTCCTTCCCTCATAGATGCAATGTGTATACGAGCACACACACCTTGTTTTTGAAATATGAGATTCCTGTGCTGGTGTTCTGGGAGAAGTTCATAAAGATTTAGTTCTGACTGATACCAGCCAGAAGTGATTTCTTTCTTTTTTCTTAAGAGAGGATAGCAAGAGCTGTAGTTACCTCTGGGAGAATTCCCCCACCCTCTTCCCTCTTCAGTTATTTCTGTCTCCTCTGTCATTAAATGGATTCTGGGTGTTAAAGCAGTATCTGGTTATGACATTGGTGTTTAAATGATAATCATATGTCATATCATGTTTTATCACCCTTTCATCTTTTCATAAATGACTGTCATTTTCCTTTGTCCATTTAAATCAGTGATCTGGTTCTTGCTGTTTGAAGCACTTTTGGCTTAGTAGTTTTGCTGAGTTTTCTTGCTGGTGAAATTGAGATCTTGCTTTCTGCTGATCTATTGCTGTGTTCTTGTATGGTTGGGATGAGATGCTTACAGATATCTAACAATATTCCTGCCTCTCCATGAAACTACTACATAATATCTACTAAATTATCTATTTAAAAATAAATTATCATAAATAAGATTGCTAATAATATTATTGCCCATTTTGAGGTTGGAAAAAGGAAGCTACCAGAAACTTCCTAAAGGTTTAACTGGCTAACCTACTAGCTTATTTCAGTGATTTTTATTTTCTGTTTACTTACAAATGTAACATATTGACTTTATCTTCAGGATTTCGTATATAGTATAAGCATTTTATGTTTTACGTATTTTTGAAGAGTAAAACTAGAAATTTGGACCTTATAGGTGTGTGGGCCCCTAGAATACATAACTAGAAGATAATTTTGCTAAATTATTCCAACGATACACATGTGCATACTCTGCCTTGTTCAACAAGCCTTGAGAGTGAGACTACTTATTCTAGTTCTAGAGCCCACATTTTTATTCCCCTGGCATCCTTCAATCATTGAGAACTATTTAGAACCTAAGGCTGTATAATTTGTTCATTACATGGTATGTGCATGGTGAAATTAAGAAGTATTATGTTCATAATTATTGAGGCTATTCCCTTTAGAGGTGAACCATTTTTATTATGCTCTACCAACATAAATTGCATGTTATTATGAAAATTCCAGTTTCATATAACAGAAGACAGAAATATAAGAATGTAATTCAAATATAGCCAGAGCTACTTTTAAGCTTTTTCATCATATTGTTGTGAAAGATACTATGTTGACAAAATGATTTTTGCTAAACATAATTTATTTTTATATAAGAAATTTACATGACATAATTTAATGCTAATTATGAAGTTAGTTAATAAGTAATAAAAATTACAATGGAATTACATGCTTATATAACTCTGCTCTCTGTCATTTCACTGATTTCAAGTAAACAACATGAAAAGAATTTATTGTCTAAACTATAAATTTGTAATATTTCTCAGAAATTGGTTTTTATAGCCAATGTTTGTTAAGTTACATGGTCACATTGGCAGGAAAATTTCAATTGACAAATTTTGTACTTCTTAAAAAATATGTCCTTCTTTGGTCATATACCTTGTAATGGGATTTCGAATGGTATTTTTGGTTCTAGGTCTTTGAGGAATCACTACACTGTATTGCAGAATGGTTGAACTAATTTACATTCTCACCATGGCACATGTTTACCTTTATAACACACCTGAACATCCTGCACATATATCCCAGATCTTAAAATAAAATAAGAAAATATATCTTTTTACAGAATAAATCTGTCAAAACTTAAAGCTCACACTGTTCTTGCATTTTCTTTGTGGGAACATATATATAATGTATTGCTCTAAAATATCTTCCAAG